ACCAAAGCGTGAACAACCATTTCTGAATCGGTTTAAATCCTCTTTACATTGTGCCCCCTCTTAGCATCGTCTCCAAACACATGCGAAATTGTTTCACTTAAAAATCGAGAAGCTTTTTTGTCAAAAAATTAGATGCAGTACCTCTGCGCTCAAGTCGTTCATTCATCTTTAGAGAAATAAAAATCCAACGAGCACATACAATACCTCATTTTACTTCCTGCAGGAAACGATTGGTACACTGGAATTAAGGAAAAAAGTTCAAGCATATATATATATATTATATATGTGCATTAAGCTGTCACCTCCAACTGTGTAGAGTGGCAACGTTTCATAATCTTTACTGTGCGTGTGAAACTCCAAGACTGGATACATTTTTAACAGACTTCGTAAATATTTAAAATTAACTCAATGCAGCTTTATTAAAAAAACAGTTCTTACAGGGTTCTCAAGGGTGTTAACTTTCTATAAGGGCTGAAAATATAAACGAAATTCAAATATATACAAGTCCTTGAAATTAAAATTAAATAATTCGAATATTTTATGTATTATTTACAAAGGAATGGGTATTCAGAAAAGTGTGTACAACGTTTAAAATACTATCATAAATTTAAAAATTATAAGCATATGAGAATAAAAATCGTCCCTATAAGAAATATTAATAAAGGTTTATGCTACACATGATCTTTTCAAAAAAGGTAGCTTTAATTACTAGCAACAAACTAATTTATAAAGTTAAATGTATCCTTATTACACTGTAGTATTTTTATGTAAATAGAGACGTAAATGATAAAAAAAATACGTTTTCAATTTTTTTTTAAATTTCAATATTTAAAAAATATTTTGAAATACAAAAGATATATCATTTTAAAATTAAGTAGGGTTTAAAGAGCATGGTACATTTTATAATTCTATAAAGTTGTATGCATCGAAGGCTTCTATTTTAAAAAAAGCGTTCGCAACGCAAAAGTTACTTAATATTTGTTACAAAATTATTTCTTATTTTCATAGGCTTATAATTTTTAAAATTATCATTATATTTCAAACGTTTTGTACATTTTGAAACTATAATCCTTTGTAAATAATGTGTATCAGATTCGAGTTATTTAAATTAAATTTGAAGAAGTATACCTGCTTGAAAACTGTTTATATTTTCACCTCCCGATGCAAAATTAACACCCCTGAGACTCGGGAAAAATAAAATACCCGATTCATCCTGAATTATTTAGAGTCTCTAACTCCTTTCAATAATTGTATTTTAAATTTCAATGAAGTGCACAAAAATAAACAAGGATATCTTCACTTTTCTGTATATTTATTCCAAAACGTCGACAGGAAGAATTATAACACTTGTAATTTAAAATTTTCACATCAATTTAAAAATTTTTAAAATTAATTAATAAGTAATACCAGATAAAAACTACAAAAGTATAAAATAATGATACTCTCGATAGTTTTATTGAATCGTTACAAAATGAATACAGTTAGAAGATTATAATTGTTTCAAATTCAAAATAAAAATTCAATTAATCACTTTTATAAATTTAAAATTTATATCAAGTTTTTTTTTAAAGTTTGTCGCTCTTGTTCTCTACAAATGAAATAAATGTTAGTTAAAATATGATGGGAGATTTCGAAAAAATACATACACCTAAACACAAGAAGTAATTGTAATTTAAATAAGTGTATGAATATATATATTAACAAAAAATGAATACGCTAATTCAATACACTCCTTCCTAATTATTAGAATTTTAAATAAAACTATAGATGGAGCTTACGTGAAAACACTTTCTGTAGTTCATAGTAAATAACAATAGGTTATTAGAACAGTAAAAAGATATTTTTTTTTAAAATTAGATTTAGTTATTTATCCACTCTTAAATATTTTAAATATTTTTTTTAGATAATTTAATGAAACGCATATTTTCGTAGTTTATAAGAGTTTCATTAATTTTTTTTCAAAGTCTTTTCAAAGGTCCTTTAACTATTTTGTACTTCTAAAATTATTGGAGAAAATACGTTATATCTTTACAATATATTTGAATACATAAACTAGAAATACACTCAAATAAATACAAACTACTTGAGTTTTCCAAACACATTGAAATGACCAAATTCAGTAAAAAAGCAAGAGAAAAAATCTTTTGATTTTTTTATTCAATAGAGTCATCTTTTGGCTGTGAAAAATGTACTTTGTTATATTTCTGCATTACCTAGATGCCAAGTTGCAGTCAATTTTATAAAGTTAGAAAACAGGTAACTGGTTCTTTAATCCACCAGAAATGTAGATTTAAAAATTTTCAAAATCTATCATGGTGTGTCTGATATAACTCGAAGTTTTATTAATATACTTCTACAAAACTTTTTGAACTTGACGTTTATATTGTTTTATACAGAATGTACCAACGCCGCATTTCTCAAACTAAGATGCGCATTAAGATGCGCAAACTCGGGGGTGTGAGAATCCTACATGGGGAGCGCAAGCATATCAAAAAAGTTCAAATATAAGATTATATAAAAATAGTATTAATTTACTAGAAGGAAACAAAAAATACATTCTGACATAAAAAATAAACACATATTTACATTAATATAATATAGTTTTTCTAAAATATATCAGTACTCCACAATACCTTTGATAATTAATTTCACACTACTAATTTAAGAAGAAATTTAATAATTACCAGTGTCCTCATGGACTTGTCATATATGAAATTGTATACAAAATGTAATACTTATCCCTTATCTTCATAATTTATACGGTTTATAATTAAAAACATATTCTAGCTTTAGCATCAAAGTACACTAATATTTAATTCTTAACATTGTTATTGTATAGGCGGGGGTGTGATTAAAATTGAGTCGCAAATATTCAAAGTTTGAGAAGCACTGGACTAACGTATTTCTTATTGTATGGGTATTTCTTGTGTTATGGCCCGTTATTTAAATAATAGTCACGTAAACAATGTCACATTTCTAATAATATTTACGCGAACAGGTCTAAATTTATTAAATTTTGATAAAACCTTAAAGCTTTAATACATTCTCTACATAAATGCATCTAGTTTGTTTTAGTAATCTACCCTTGACAAGATGATTATTATACTTAACAATATTTTAAATTAATATTTACTTTTCAATGGAAGACAAATATCTAAATCAGTTAATCATATTCCAAATATTTGGTTATAGAGAGAAATATTCCCTTCAAAGCCTCCATCATTTACACCAACGATTTTCGGAAACTAAAATACATGATTAGTCTCGAGCAGCCATCACGTTAAGTGGACTTTGCCACTCGAAGGAACTGAGAATAGTGCAATTTATTGAATTAAATGGAATAGATTCAACACATTATTTCCGTGACATTCTTTTTAAACTTTGAAATAGTTATAATTTGACTTTCAAACCTAGCAATGGATTTCTAAAGCTATTTATTTAGCACCAATGAGTTGCAGAAATTTAAACATCACCTCGTTAATAATATTGATTGAGTAGATACATGAAATATTTAGTCTGAAACCTTCTGTATTGCTATAATTTCGAAACGCATTTTGAAAATATTTCATTTTTGATTATAATTAAGAATTATTGTATCAGAAAAGTTATATTTGTTATCTTGCTCAGGAATATAAGAATTAAACTCCCATTATCATTTTCAAGTGTTCACTCATCGGCATATCTCTATATAGCATAATAAAAAGGGGGATAGATCTTCACTTCGAAAATAAATTATTCTACCTCAATGGTTCTTAAACCGATTTGCCGTCAACGTATTCAACGAAAAAACTAAAATCTGTCATGTTACCATGATCTGAATTTCATGATTTATGCACATATTATTTAAATATTGATCGGCTTTTATTTTAAAATTCCTCATATGTACACGTTTTGTAAAACTAAATATCATATGCCCAATGAGCTTAATTCATCTGACGTCATAGTCACATGATAATGTTAACCACGTGTTGTTAGCCAATTGTTTCAAAATCTTATGTGACATCATAGTCGCACGATAAAAGCAATCGCGTGTCTCCCACAAATCAGCTCATTCGCTTCGCTGTTGCCAACTTTTGATATTTTCAGAAACATTCTCTAAAAAATACAAATTTGTCAACAACAATAATGCACACAGGTAGACAGAATGCATTTTATTTAAAAGTACATAAATAAAGCAAGATTTTTTAAATTTTAAATCTTTTGAAGAAATTTATTTTTTACAACATTCGAACATTTTTACTTTATAGTAAAATTTGAAATTTTACCCGAGTTTTACGACACATTAGAACAACAAATACAATTACTTTGATGTCTCTTTTGAATTCAACGGAGAACACGTGTTTGGCTTTATCATGAGACCGCCATGAATTAAGTCCATTATTAAAACAAACCTCAAGGGGCTAAAATATTGCAATTTCATTCTAATTTAAATGTGGTATTTATTCAAAAATAAATGAAATAAATAGTGCACATATAATAAACAAATGGAAAAAATTATTCAGTAATATTTTAACACCATATTTGACTAAATTGTACGAAAAAAAATCTTATTTTATGGCAATTTAAGTACATATTTCAAGTAATTGATTTCAATGCATTTTTATGTAACCTGGGAGTAGATAAAGAAAGAAAAAAATATGTGTATATAAATATTATTAGGTAAAAGGTAAATCGAAAGTAGAAAAAATGTTGCTAGGGACACGCGGGGATGTTTTACAATCTCGCTTAGCATCACACCGTTGAAAAGAGAAAATTTTAAATAATTCTAGATCATAAATCTTATTTTTATTTATAGGCTGACAATTCTGAGATGTTTTTAAAGAATTGGAATTTCAACAAATAATGATTTCACTTTAACTGCAGAAATTTATTTTAAAGGGAACTTTTTTCTTCATTTTGATTTGAAAAAAACTTTAAAAATTTTATCCACACAAATTTTCTTCCAAATATTATATTAATATTCCTTCAAATGATTTTAAATATAATTGCTTACCTAAGCC